CTGTGTCTTTGTCAAGTTTCTTTCTGGTTGTTCTATCCATTTTTGAAAGTGGTGTATTAAAGTCACCCACTATTATTGTGGACTCATCTATTTCTTTCTTCAAATCTCTTAGAGTTTGTTTTAGATATTTTGGTGCTCTTTCATTGGGTGCATAGATTTTTAATATGGTTATTTCATTTTGTTCAACTGTCCCTTTAATCATGAGATAATGTCCATCTTTATCTATTATGCTATTAGTTATGTTTTATAATGTATTTATGCCATGTATTAGAGCTCCTAAGTTTGCCCCTAGCTTTTCACTGATGATCTTCATAGTTCTAGGTTTTACATTTAGGTCTTTAATCTATGTTGAGTTTGTTTTTGTATATGGTTTGAAATATAGGTTTTGTTTCATTCTTCAGCAAATGGATTTCCAGTTCTGCCAATATCATTTGTTCAAGAGACTTACCTCTTCCCCATTTAATGTATTTTGGGTCTCTGTCAAAGATCAGCTGACTATATGTGAATGGATTTACTTCTGCTTCTCAATTCTGTTCCATTGATCTATGCATCTTTCATTATAGCAGTAGCAGGCTGTTTTGACCACTGTAGCTATTATAAGAGCTCCCGTTTAATTTTATTTTGCATTCTGACCCATTCTCTACATGTGTTATTTTTGCATTTTTCACTTGAAAAAATAAAAAGGTATTTTCCTCACTGCCAATAAATCAAAAAGATAAAGTTAATCTGAATTATATATATTCCCACATTTTGACTATATAATAAATTGGAGGCCGGTGTGTTGCTGCAGGATAAAGACTGGACTGTTAACTGCAAGGCTGGTGGTCCAAACTCACTAGCTGCTACCCAGAAACCTAACATAGGTTTGCTGTGAGTTGGAACCAATTTGATGGCACTTATCAACAATAATGAGGTTAGAGAAAGTAAAAAACAAAATGAAAAACACACTCCAATCTAAAAAACCTCCACTAAAAAGATGGTAGGTAATCTTTAAGAATTTAAAAGAAATAGTTTCTACCTCAGGACAGACTTAGAAATAGCAAGTAACTTACTTGTTCATAGTTAAAGGTTTCCAACATTCCCAATATTAGCCCCTGGATTTCTCCAAGTTTTCCTCTTCCATAGACTGGATCCTAATTAAGAAAAAAAATTAAAATTTTGTTATGAGTCTTGATATTTTACCATTAATTTAAAATAGAAGTTATCTGAAAAAGCCAAATATTCTTAATTATTTTTCTACAGTCACAAAATACTCATTTTTTCCCACTGGAAATGCATAGTAGCCTCTCAAGCCATCTCACACATTTTGGAAAAAGAGACACAATTTAAATGATCCAGGCATCTTGCTTAACAATGGTCTTTGCAAGTCTAATTAAATTTCACTCTGGTTTTGTTTCTGCAAGAAACTTCCGTTTTTAATGTGGGATCCTAACCAGAGAAGTAGTGAAACCAGAGAAGGAGGCAGAGGTCAAGCATGGAAAGAGAGAACATCTGAGGACTCTGGACTCATGGAAAGAGAAAAGCTGTGTGTTGGAGGGCAGGGGGCTGGTCTGAAAAGTGTACCTTTTCTTTGTTTAAATGATTATATATTCCTACTACATGTTTTTGTACATAGCAAAAAAAAAAAAAAAGAGAGAGAGAATAGAGGCAAATACAAAAAAAATAGATGGCACATGGAGGGGACTGTAATCATTGCAATGAAATAAGATGCAATCGGTTGAGTGCAAAAGTGATGTTCTGCCATGCAGACTATCACTCAATTCACAATAAAAGGGTTTTAAAAAAGAAAGAAAGAAAGAAAAAGAAACAGCAGCTTCCACTCTTTTGTTGCAATCTAGTCAATTCTGATTCACCGTGACCCTGGAAGACAGAGCAGGATGACCCCAAAGGGTTTCCAAAGTTGTAAATTTCTACAGAAACTGATTGAGTCATCTTTATTCTACAGAGTGGCTTTTGGCTTAGAATCCCCACCTTCTGGCTAGCATTCAAGTGCTTACTCACAGTGTCACCCAGACTTCGTCTCCTTCATGTAAATATCAATGTGTCCTCTTTGAGCTCATTATCTGCTACATTAAAATCAATGTGCTCAGGGATATACAGAATCTGCCCAACAATGCTTCCTGCAACCCACATGCTATAAAGAAGTTTTTAGTCAACTCTTGGCCCAAACCAATAGCCCACACACAACACCACTGGTCTTCCAAGTATAAAGATACAGATAACTAATATTAAGTGCAAAAATAAAGGTAACATTTCTGATAACTTCTTAGGGAGTTGTTGTCGTTAAGTGCCATCAGGTTGGTTCCAACTCACAGTGACTCAGTATAAGGTTTCTGAGGAGCGGCTGCTGAGTTTGGGGTTATTAAAATCTTGATTAAGAGCAAATATGAGTTACTGTGAACCACAAGGTCAGTGGCTCGAGCCCACCAGCTGCTCTATGAGAAAAATGAGGCTTTCTGTTCCTGCAAATATGAAACCTTATACAGGGCTGCTATGAGTCAGAACTGACTAGATGGCATTTAGTAACAACAAAAATATGAGTTCAGAAGTTAATACAAGGCGGTTGTGAAAGCAGGGAAAAAACTCAGGTGAACAGATGCTCAAAAACATATGAAAGAACTCTGCCTGCTTGTCCTTACACAACTGTCTTCTCTTCTAGGCTCTGAAAATAGTGCTTGAAGACTGGGTAGATGTAGTTTTTAACTAAAGCTATCTTTTAGTACTTTCGGTTGGTCTACAGCACCATGAGATTGTTGTTGTTGTGATAATGGGTGTCCCTGGGAGGACCATGGGGGTGATGTTCACACCTCTGACAGTGAGATATGCATATTATGACATGGAACGTATTGGAGTTGACCTGATCATGAAGACCTGTTTTAGCCCCAACCGGGTGATCAGGCTCTCAAGTGACTTGGAGCAAGTTGGAGGGGCATCAGCCCACATCCAGGATGCCCTCAGCACAGTTATTGCAGTACGCAGAGGAGGATGTCTTATCTGGAAAGGTGTCAGCTGACAATATTGTGGGCCACTTCTTGATGAGTCTGGTTAACCAAGTACCCAAAATTGTTCCTGATGACTTCGAGACCATGCTCAACAGCAATATCAATGACCTGCTGATGGTGACCTACCCTGACAATCTTACACAGTCACAGATTGCCCTCAATGAGAAACCTGTAAACCTATGAATGGGTCCCAAGAAGCACTCCAGCCAATCTGGGCCCCAACCTTGGGATTCAGAATGAAAGAGAAATGGTTTCCTTGTGTTCTCAAGTCACACTGAATTAGGCTCTAAATAAATAATGACAACAATCTTTTGTAAAAAAAAAAAAAAATTGGTACCAACTCATGAAAAACTGCCCGGTCTTGGGCCAACCTCACAATTGTTGCCACACTTGAGCCCACTGATGCTCTCACTTTGCCAATCCATGTTTCTGGGGGTCTTCCTCTTTTTCTCTGACCCTCTACCTTACCAAATATGATATCCTTCTCCAGCGACTGGTCCCTCCTGACAATATGTCTGAAGTATGAGAGATGAAGTTTGGCCATCTT